AGACAAGACATCCCCCTAGGGTCCATGTTTGCACGTCTTGTCTGTTAATATGAGTCAATGTGGGACGCACAAATAGGGTCAAAGTGAACTTTTTGCCTTTTCATATGGCACATCCGCTCGGACAGGGAAAAAAAGCTGAAATTATCACAAATCCTTCTAGGTGAAAACGATGGCGCCGGTATCTCCATCTTTTTGTTCGTTTTGTTGTTGGTATTATTGTAGCTGACTCACCGCATTAACCTCTACGGCAAACCCCATCTTAAGGTTGTAATTTTGATCACTACCAGCAGCAAATTATCTTTTCATTCATTTTTACTTCACATTTATTGAATAATTAGTAAATACACTTAAAAGATTACAAACGACGTCTGCTATGCCTTCCTTGCTCGTGCGTCGTGGACCCAAAGCATGACACCTCCTGCATTTTGTTCACACTACAACAGCACACTGCTGTTTATGGTGACCAATGCCTAAATATAATTGATGGCATAGCCAGTAGTAACGTTATTCTATACACTGTGACGCGACACATACTTAGCGTCATTCTACAATCACTGCACATACGAATCCTATAAAGTTCCGGCTTTCAGTTTTTATAAACAAATCGACTCCTTTCAAATATCTCTGTTCAAATTGACTCCTTTCGTAACTCCAGATTAAGATTCAATCAAGCTTAAGTTCTTCGAAGCTACCTATAGCATTTATTTTGCACGCCTTTTGAAGATTTTTCAGCAGTATATACGTCTATGACGGCATACTGCCTCACGACTGGCGTGTTGCGGGAACGCAGCTCCTGTACGCAAATGAGGTAATGAATACTCTTTTCTTAACTATCGCCCTACGTACTTAACAGTGGTGTGGTCAGAAATTTTTAGGGAGGAAGGAGGGCAAGCCATCTTCACCATCGCGTTTTGGCTGCGCCACTGATACTTAAAAATAAGTTATTATCAAAAATTGTTATCGAAAATTATTGGGCGCGTAAACACGAACTTTCTATTCTGACTGTTGCATCGTAACAAAACAAAAAGCAAAAACAAACACGAAAAAAATTTTGATTGAAACAAAAGCGTAACCGCAACGTTATCTATTAATTCGTTCTGGAGTGAAACACAGATTTTTTCAAGAATTTTTCTTTCCACGAAAAAAAGAACTTGGCAACCCTGAACTACCGAGGGCATGCAACGTGAGTAATAATACATATCTAAGATTTTTTGACACAACGCGCGCATGACACATGCGAATATCGATACCAAACTTTTGCACCACTTCATATTATGTTGCCTTTCTTCCAGTCTTATTATCTCTTTTTCCAGAAGCTGTCGATCGTTAACCAATAACTGTTTTTTTTTAGAATTTCGGAAAGTGTTTCATGATGTAAGTCATAAATTGTGGCTCCACAAGGAACTCAGTCTCGTTTTGTAACTTCCTTAGATACATCTTCTTCTGCATAACCGCACACAATTTTAAACCACTGATAACAGTAACTGTTCATTACGTGCTGTACGCTCTGATGTACTACATGCTGACCATTTTTCCTCTCTTTCGAAAAAGGGGCGAGGAAAATTAATGTAGTAGAGACACCTGAAGCCACCCTCTCGACTGCCGAGGGCAGATGGGTGTTTTGCGTCTTTTTATGCAATATCCTTCAATACAGACAGAGTTAAAAAAACAGGGAGGGGTGGGGGAAAGTGAAGTTTTTCGTATGCCTACCACTTCCTGGCAACTTTGCTGCAGGTTCCCGTTCCGGGTCCCCCCCTTTTTTTTTCTCAGTTTACATTATCGACTTTCCTCACGGTGTATCTACTAACATAGGACTACGCCTAGATGACGATATGTGCCTTACGCGAAAGGAACAACCTAAATGACATTAATGCCCTGGAAGACAGTCTTGACTTTTTAACTGGTACATGACCTGGCGAATGGAAATAATTACTACAATAAGTAAAATCTCATGAGCTTTCCAGATTCATTCCTCGTCTTAAACATATCACTCCTCTTACATCTGTAAGCTGTTGTAAATATCGGTGCACGCATCTCTGGTTTTCTAACTTTCTCATATATGAGCAGCATAATTATTAAAGCAAATGAGTTGCTCGAATACATCTAATTATTTATTTCTGTCGAATCAGACTCAGTAAAATTGCTCATGTACAATAAAATACATTAATTCATTGAAAACATGGATATGCAACAGCTATATGAACACTAGAATATAATTCATTTCTTGAATAAATCACGAAAAATTCTCGTCGACTCAGTCTTCATAACTGCAGCTGCCAAGTAAGTGCAAACGTCCCAAAAAAACTCGCTCAAACGACCACCTTTTGCCACTCATCATCAGTTTACCCGCATAGCTCACAATACAAACTTTATGAATACATTTCTACACTACGCTACGTTGTCATTCTTCGAAACCTATATACGTGTAGACTGTATTCAAAATAAAATTGGCGTTATGCGCTGAACAAATGAAGCCTGCGTTGACTTTTTTCAATGCTAGATGATGGCATGGCTGTCCCCTACTTTCCTGGATCTGCAGTCGTTATCACCGACCATCAGAAGTCTCGTTCTACCCCATAGCGCGGTACTGTTTATTGAAAAGTTCCCTTGCCTGTTCTGTGTAGTTACGTGTGAGGTTTTAGTTGAAATTTTATCAGTTATTGAAATAATGTAACCGCTCCCTACGTAACAGCTTCAACCTGGATGCGCGACGCCACACCATCGCAAATCTTCTTGACCATGTGCAAGTTCAAAAAAGTGCAGTTAATGCCAGCCACCTGTTCCTATGGCATTTTTCCCTGGGATCATGCCATTTGGGTTTTCACACGTAGTTTGCCGCTCTCGGCGCGTCCATCGAAAATGAATTTCGAGATGGTGATCTTATTTTTGAACTGAAATATGTTTTATGTACTGTCAGCGTCAAATGAAACCCGAACAATGGCGAGGATTTGCAATAGTGTCATTTCCGATGGAGGCGGAAATGTTGTAGGCCCGTGTGCTCAGATTTGGGTGCACGTTAAAGAACCCCAGGGGGTCTAAATTTCCGGAGCCCTCCACTACGACGTCTCTCGTAATCATATAGTGGTTTTGGGACGTTAAACCCCACATATCAATCAATTGCAATAGTGTCGTGCGTGCCGTCCAGTTATCACAATTGACAGGCGCGCGCATCCTGTTCGGCAGCTTTGTGCATATATGCGTGCGTGTTCGTACTGATAGCACTGATACTGTTCGTACTGCACTTGCAATGATGTACCTGTATTTGGCATCCGTATATTCGTACACTACACCCATTTCAGGTCAATTTTATTATTATCCAACTGAACATTTGACCGCCCGTCGAAACACGCTAATGACAGCCGAGAATATAGAGATTAATCAGAACGTACTTGAAAGCCGGGCCTTGGTAAAACGATTGCCTAATAGCAATTGAAATCAGAGGGAAAGGATGGCCAACAAAACCTCTTTACATAATTTCATACACGTGTATGCCAAGCACACCACACTGTGTTTCCATCTGTTGGCTCGCGTATTTACAATGTACACCACGTGTTCCTAGCAGAATTACATCTCGATCATAGAAAAATTACCGACACAGAGAAGTGCTACATAGACATGCGTGGAGTGCAGTGCTCGCTCGTGAAACATCCTAAAGTAATGCCAACATATAGACGTTGGTAAAACAGTAAACTGTGCTATAGCGATGCGCTGAATAGATGTACAAAGACGAAGGACGCAAGAACCTCAAAAGGGACAGGAATTTTGTGGAAGACAAATCAGCAAACTACTTTGTCTAAACTGAGACAGTGAACAGACAGGCTGCATGCATAGATAGGATCTAGAGGCGTAGGCAGAAATTTTTTTTCGGGGAAAGAAGCACTTTATCTAAAGTTCTCTGTGCCCACATCAATGAACAAGACAGTTTATGTGCGATGATGGGTCATTTGAGAAACTAATAAATAAATAAATTAATTAATTGTTTGCGGAAATTTTTCCAACAGCTATGTGTTTGAAGAACTGAGCTTGTTCGATGAGGCATTGTGAGACTCACTGTGTTTTGTGCCTTGTACCTCTGATTGGTTATAAACATAGTATTTCCGGCAGCAAGTTTTATATCTTGACTCACGTGTGTTTAACGCCTTAGTTCTTTTTAATACTTGTAACATGAGCCTCAAATCGACGCCATTTCTGCGTTACAAACTTTCAGAACACTAAATTCTTTCCTTAGTCAGAATGTATCCCGCAAGGCACTTAGGTGTGACGACCGGACCAGGGGGAGGTTTTCATTTTTACTGCCGATATGCGGTCGAAATGATTGTCAGGTCTCATGGACCACAACGTCTGACCACCGCTCAGTAGGTGCATTTTATAACGCGGCGTTTCCATTTCTTAAGGTTTCTGAAAGAAGTATATGGCATAACGCTGCGCACTTCGACGCTACTGCTGCTTTACTCTAAGCGGCCCGCGAATATCGCCTCGCATGCGCAAGCCAACCTTTCGAGAGACGAGCAGACGGCACCATTGCGTTCGATTACGTGCTTCCGTGACGGCCGAGCGTTCGCACTTGCGGCGCCAACTAGAGCCACGACACGAGGATCAAGCGAGGACCTGGAGGCGCGCACCTTTCCGCCATGCTGTAGCGAGCGAGGCGACCGGCGAGACAAAAGCGCAACGAAAGTGAGCGGTGGAGAGATGCGGCGGCGATCTGGAGCGGAGTGGGGTCTCCTCGCCCGACGAAATGGCGGCGCTGACCTAGTCTTGTGTTGGGGGAGCACTTCTTCCTTCACGCGGGGCTGCTGATGGAAGGAAAGATGCAAGGGGGTGTGGAAGGGGGCCCCGAAAATAATGACAATAAACGTGCGACAGGAAAATAAAAAGAAGCGCTGAGCCGCTGGACCAATCCGGACCGAGCCAGTTCGAAAATAGCCTCGATAGAACGGGCCTCCATGGTCACCTCTGGACGTATAAAAGCAGCCGGCAGCTCAGCAGTCAGCACACTCAACAGCCGTCTTCGACCTGTTCTCTTGTGTTCGTTGCACTCCAAGCACACAGACTTCAGACATGAACGCTCTGGTAAGTGGGCCTTGAAAGCTACCCCTCCTCCTCCCCTCGACGGCAGCTGCAGGATACGTACTCGACGCCGGCCACTTTGCTGGGCCGGCACGTCGCCCGGAGAACCCGTTCCCGAGCGGGGCTGTAATTCCGCGTCGGAGGCATTGATCGAATCTGGATTTGCTCCTTTTGGACTCGATGCTGACCTCGGTCCGAACGTGCTCGCAACTCCACCTCCGCTCTGTGCCTCTCATGACAGGAATTGCCCCCACCCCTTTTCACCCCACCCAAGCCTCATTTTTTCACTACTTAGTTCATTGTACAGCTCTGCACTCGTGGATATGCTTGTTTGTGCTGCTGTTCCATTGAAAGGATAGCTCGTGCGAAATGTTGATTATGAAACTCTTCATGTTGCTAATCGTCACACGACATTTCCGGCAATGCGCTTCTATTTGAGATGGGTCTTGTAAAAGCAGCAGACATACAGCAATTACCTAGGACTCAACACCGTTTGCGCCACTTCTTTAATGCGCTGTTTATTTTCGCAAGTTCCTCGTATGTGCGAAAAATTAAAAAGAACCAAAAATTTCTCGATTAGGCATTTATAGTTTGCTGTTTTACGGCAGCAACCTGTCTGCAGTCATATAATAGGTACGGCTCAAATATCTCATGAGTATCTGAGTTGTCTGTGGCAGAGCATGCGGCCATTTCCAGTGAGTGAGCAGCTTAAGCATTCACATGTTCTAAATTGATCTCAATGAGCTAGCTACCTTGACACCTTCATGACAAAAGGAAAGCATTTTCCTCTGAATGTACGAACTCATTACAGTCTGTAGTCGATGTACTTCGAGTTCACTATATTCACAGGCATGAATTTAAAGTAATCGTATTATCTGGGGTCTTTAGTCTCAAAACCACAATATGATTAGGAGAGACGCCGTAGTGGAGGGCATTGGACATTTCGACCGCCTGGCGTTATTTAACGTACACTGACATGGCACAGTATACGGGCCCTTTCGCCTTCATCGTAAGGCCACCACCGGGATGGAGTCTGCGACATTCGGGTCAACAGCCGAGTGCCATAACTGCAGGCCGAAACCAGAAAGTGCGATTACTCTCGTGGCAGCAAACGATCCATGAGTTTGTATTCAAGGTTTTCTCCGTGTTTAATGAGGCGAATATTCTGATCGAAACATAATTGCTGCTCTTATAGCCAGAACCAAAAATCAAGTTTTTTCCTTCGAGATGTCATTTCCTTTTATACTGTTGCTTAAGAAAGAGGTCGTGAGAAGAATGTACTTGCGATGCCGAAACTTTAGCTACTGTTTTGATAGGCACTTTTGAGAATCGGCTCAATTGCTGAGCTTAAGTCTCTGCGTGCACACCGGCTACTCGCCTCCTAGACAGCGTCATTCGTCACCCGGTAGAGAAAACGCAGTACCAGCGGTAGTCCCTGATAGCACGCAACCTTTCTACGTTCGTCCAGCCGTGAAAATCCAAGATCAATTACTCTTCATTCACAACTGCGCTAGCCAGTACAGAAGGTTCAAGGCAGCAGAGGGGTTGTTAGCGGCCTGAGCGCGCTTTCTTGTGTAAAGCGTAACTTGGCTGTGAGCCACATGTGCCAAGATTGACACACGCGCTGCAGCAGCAGCAAACCTGTTCATTTTAGGCCACGCTGAACCGGGATCACACGCTTCGTAATTATGCGGAGAGGTGTACGCGGGTGGCGTCGCTTGGCGTGTCGATCAAGTGAATGCGGCCGTGCGTGCAGGTTGTTGCCGCTCTTTTCGCCTGCGTGGCCCTGTCCTACGGCCAGTTCGAGTTCGGCGGAGGATTTGACGGTGGTGCTGGCGGCGCTGGCGGCTTCGACAGCAGCTCGTTCGGATCTCCCGATGGTGGCGCGCAGCTGGGCGGAGGCGACTTCGGTGGAAGCTTCGGCGGAGGCGACGCTGACGGTGCGGCGGCCGGTGCTGGTTTCGATACCTCCGGCTTCACCGGTGGCTTCGAGGGATTCAACGCTGCTGCCGCTTCCAACAGCCGCCCCCAGTTCGGCGGCTTCCAGAGCCAATTCCAGGGAAGCCTTCCCCAGGCCGGAGCAGCCCAGTCATCTGTCGAGGCCCAGTAACGCCACGGTAATAATTCATGCCGCACTCGACTCGGTCAGTGTTAGCTTACATTTTAATGTCGCTGCAGCATTTTCTCGACGGCGGCTTAATACAGCTGCCCGTAAATAGAGCAGGGTTAACCTCGTAGCTATACGGTTATGCAGATAAGTGATCAAGCGGTTGTCTACTAGATTACGAGCAGTAAATGTTGGAGAGAACCTCGCATGAGCTACAACCTTTAAGACGTTTAAAACTCCCAGTTCGGCTTCCAAAGTGTTGCCTATTAGTGTGAGCCTTCAGCGTATGCCTTAATGAGACATCAGTTGTATGCCTTAATGAAAGTAAACTGTTACCTGCAACTCCTTGCGAGTGCACAACGCCTTGTCTTGCCACGTGATACTCAAACCCTTCGTTTCTCGTGGGCTAGTCACAGGGATGAATTAGTTGTTCTGAGTAAATTTGAATGTGTGTGAACATTGTCGAAGTACTAATCAGTTACCGAAGTCCGCGATTGAACCGTCCGTGGAGCTTTTCAAATTCAAGTGCGTCAGATGCGGTAAAGAAATGACGATGGAGAAACAGGTGAAAGAAGAATGCAAAGAAACAAGAAAAAGAACAATGCATTGACTGCCAGATATAAAAGCAGTGTCGGAGTACACCGGAAAGCCAAAACGAATGACCGAGGCGATCGTGGTAGTACAAGGCGTTGACCAGAGGCATCTGTGATTCTTGCTTTATTTTTTGCATTCACAGAGCACCTTTATTTGGCGTATTCTCATAACTGTTCCGTTCCAGGTAGTGGTCCGAAGGAGAGTCACAGCCTGGGGCGCAGACCAACGACAGACCCCATGTCGAATTTCTCGCCAAGAATTTCGACGGTTGTATAGTGTTGAATAAGCAATGTAAATAGTATTTGCGTGCCTCTACCAGCGCGCTTGTAAAGAATAATCACGCGGTTTCATTAAAATCTCATCGTTTAAAAAAAAAATGGACGCATTGCTTTCCACGTTTCTCTTCGTCTGCCCCCATCGGCTGCATGCCCCGCCGCGGTGGTCTAGTGGCTAAGGTACTCGGCTACTGACCCGCAGGGCGCGGGTTCGAATCCCGGCTGCGGCGGCTGCATTTCCGATGGAGGCGGAAATGTTGTAGGCCCGTGTGCTCAGATTTGGGTGCACGTTAAAGATCCCCAGGTGGTCTAAATTTCCGGAGCCCTTCACTACGGCGTCTCTCATAATCATATAGTGGTTTTGGGACGTTAAACCCCACATATCAATCAATCAATCAATCAATCAATCAATCGGCTGCATGGCCGGAGGGGCCGACGCAGGTGGTGCCAGCTCAATGGTCGATGGTCATTCTCGAGATGATGTCCCGAGAAGGGGGCGCGCGGCTGATGATGTTCTCGCGCCTGGATTAACCCGTCCCTCACACGACGAGCCCTTATGAGCATCTACCTCACTGTGCGAGTGCGATGGAATCATACCAAAAGTTCAACTCTCTTTTCAAGCTACTTTTTGAACCAGCCATGCAGCACAGAATTTCATGAAGCGGCAGAGTACCCACCCAGCAAGAAATCCTCGTATACTTCAGGCAGCACAAGGCATCTCTTTTTATTGTTGCCTTGGATGACGATCGCAGAGCGTCCAATCTAAAGGCCACCAAAGCGGCGGAGGAGGTATGATTTTCGATCATGCCGTAATACGTAAAACCAACCTTCCCCGCGAACGGCAATTTCACCACCGCTTTCTTTTTATGAGGCCGTGGCGGTTGAACGGGAGCTACAAAATGGCCCAAACGTTCGTTTATTGAGAAATATTAATTGACCGACATGCATTTCTCGGGATAGACAATTTTTAGCCCCCATATGAAGGCGACCAGGCCGAGAAAATGTGGAAGTAGATTAAGGACTTCACGGCTCACGTTCAGCTGGCACCCTATGATATCCTTCCTTAATTGTGCAGTATGAACAGGCTATGTAATGGAAGCATGTTGGCCCACATAGCCACGAACTTCGGTCGTGTAGGTGGCCATATTGATGCGCTTCCGGGACACGATGAAGTTTGTGTCAGCATCGTTAATGAATATTCTTCGGATCCCTCTTTCTAGCCCTTATTTCCCCACCGCAAAGCTGCATTGCAAACCGCATGCTAATATCTGGTTAACCTGCCAACCTTCATTTTCATCTCCCTCTCTTGGTAATGATCGGGAAATTCTTACAACATATAACGAGCTCACTAAACATTTCTACCTGTCTAGAAGGATTTTCCCTCCACCTCACAAAAATCTAACCCGGCCCCAAGCACTTACATTAATGCTTTTGCAAACGCGGATGTACCCTACTTTGAAAATGTTACACATCATGTACCCTGACCTATACCCAAGTAATCTTTGTCCACATTGGGGGGAAATAGCTTCATTAGAACACATGCTCTGGCAGTGCACCAAATTCGCTCATTTATCGAACATCACCTCTGCCAGATGGGAGGCGGCAATCCGCAGCTCGTCCTTGGCAGATCAGCTCTGGGCTGTCCACCAAGCCCGCGAGGCGGCTGAGGAGCTTGGCATCTCAGTCCCCACGTGGGAGCTGCCCGCAACACAGTGATCTGTGTTTTGGAGGAACAAATGAAAGTTTATCCAATCCAATCCAATCTTGGTAATGATGGAAGATGGCATAATCACGTTTCTGGTGCACTGGTATACACTGCTGTAGAATACATGCCCTTCTTTAGTGTACTTTTCACAGTAACATAACTTGTTTTTTTTTTCAAGTCTTTCAGTCTCGGTGTTTTCACTATGTAAACGAATGGCGCATTACATGCGAAATCGATCGAGTGTTTGCAAATTTGGGATTTCGAAACCTCGCTGCGAAGCGCAGCGGCACAGGTGCCTCTCGAAAGCGCTGGCTGATTACTCCTCTACTTCGGCTCATACAACAAGAGCCTACTACACGCACTGTCGCTACTTCTTCGCCACGAAGGCCGCGTAAATAATTAAGCACGTTGCTTTGTGTTTTCCAGATATTTCGTGCAACGTTGCAATTAAAGCTTTGCGTGACTATAGTACTTTGGTGTAAGATCTTCCAAGTGATATACACACCAATCGAGACAGAACACCCTTGTTGTGGTGGTGTTCGATGCGAGTTGAAATTAAATCCTAATTTATGTAGCCTTTCAAATGCCAGGCTTGTTTGTCGAGCACTACGGCTCATTTTATAAGACGTCTCTAATCTTACTGGTGCAACAACTTTTCAACATAATAAGAACCGCGTCTGCTCGTGATTCACACTGAAAGGTGAAATGAATATTTATAAGAGCGATTCTGTTATTCGTAAGCAGTTATTCGCTGCTATACGCTGTTATTTATAAGCAGGGAAAAGTAGGCGAATGTACGAACAAAAATAACACCTGGCTTTAGACGCTCATCTATTTCGTTAATTAAGGCGATTTGTCCGACTGAAGATAAAATGCAAACTTATGTATACAGGTTTTTTTAGCGGGCAGAAAGGGATCAAGTGGTTCAAATTGATGCGACCTTGTGCATGTACTACATTTGTTGTTTCAGGGCCCACACCTGCCTCCTTTCTGCTTTGCTAGCATATCAAAATCAACCCAAACACAGGGAAATATTGTGCTCACACAATATTCTGAGCACAGTATTCACAATTAATGAACACCCGAAGTCTAATCTTCGTCTCTGCAGGAGTCGGTAACAAGGAAGATCGGAGGTGCTCTACATTTTGTCAAGTCGCGAGGACATCTAAAAATAACGCGGATATACAAAGAACACCTACGGATATGAAAATACAATACAGGTATAGAAATACTGAGAAATCTGAATATTCACAGTTGATGAACTGTTCATAAACATGAAGCAAGCGCAGTGCATACACGCGCGCGCAAACAAAATATTCAAAAGAATCTTAATGAGCATAATGTAAACTATGAAATAATAATAATAATAATAATAATAATAATAATAATAATAATAATAATAATAATAATAATAATAATAATAATAATAATAATAATAATAATAAAGCATTGTTGAGGTTTGCCAAGACCAAGATATTATCTGGAACACCTTAGCGGAGGGTTCGGAAGTTTCGACGACCTCATGGGGTTCTTTAACGTGCACCTTATCTAAATATACATGCCCCAAGCATTTTCTCTTACAATAAATATGCGACTGGGATTCGATCACGCGACTTTCGAATCAGCAGTCTAGTGTTACTGGAACACTTTCCCAAGTCTTAGTATTAAATTATCCACATGAACAAGTAAATTAAGGAGAATGATTGTTCGTGATGAAGAAAATAGAAGGCGTCCTCTCTTGAGTTTGGACGGCAGTGTGTCCGTCTCTTCGGCCATCTTTCGTCGCATTCAGCATGAATACTCCATCAGCTCAACTTGGTACACGTATCACACTGGAGATGACCAGCTGCCTCCACCGTTGTCCCTCTGTTCCACGTCTCTCCTTGCGTCGCTCGTATATTCCCCCACTTTGCAGTTTTGGGCTACGAGAGCTATTCCTTCGTCTTCTTGGAAATCAAAGTGCGTGTTTTGTCGTCGAGCTTCGTACTTGACCTAATTGCTTCCGGAAGTTCTTCTCTCCTTTTCTGAAATCCCCTTGGAGAAAGACGCACGACTTCAGCTTCTCTTGAGCCCCACCCATACTTCCCTGTGTGCAGCCCCGCGCAAGCTGCCAATTCGACATCCATGGCGCTTCTTCAGCTATGCAGCAGCTGTGGGGCTGGAAAGCGGAACTTTTACATGTATACATGTATTAAATATTGTATCTTCGTATGTTGGCAAATGCTATGAAAGAGAGTATTTCTGCTGTACCTTCAATACAATTTCAGAATATCTTGCGCAGTACTTCGTACACAAAAATGGAAAGTCCAGCCTCCCCTCCCCCAGCTTCATTCAGAAGGGGAGCACAAGATGAACCCTCTTTTGGCACAATATTTTTGTTCAACCTAAGCAGCTTGCAAGATTCCGTGCAATAAAACACACCCATTTATGCGTACATGCAAGTGTAAGCGGGCCTGCAGTCGGGTGATGAACAACGTTTATTGTCGTTGGAACGAAGTAGATATAGGCAAGAATGGTGACGTAACAGGTCACGTGATTTTAACAAAATAGTTGGTGACGTCGGAGTGACTCAGCCATGCTACATCTCCCTTTTCTGAGGGAATCAAATAATTACTTTGGTCTTTCTGGTTGTGGGTAGCGGCAGGGCTCCCGGCGTGGCCTTGTGCTTCTCCGCAGCTCTTCAGCGGGCTGGGCGTCGTCTAGTAGTTCGGACCCATCACGAGGTCTTTCTTCGGGATGTGTAGGTGCGTCTCGCAGATGCTCGCGTGTGCGTCTAATTTCCTGGCCCTCTTCCGTCTTTACCACCACGGAGCGTGGCGTCTCAGCTGGCCTCAGAACGACTGCAGGTGTCCAGGTCTTTTCATGGGTATCGTATGTAGCCACTCTCTGGCCAGGTGATAGAGGTGGTAGGTGCCTGGATCGGCAATTGTAGTAGATCCTCTGGCGTTGGCAGATTTCCTGGAGACGGTTATGGACGGCTCGGGTGAGCAGTTTCCGGCACCAGGTGGCTTGAGGGTACGGGCAGCAGGGTCCTCGTCTGCCTTCCCATCAGTCTCTGCACAGGGGATTTCGAAACAGAATCTCGCGGTGTATTACGCCATTCAAGCAGAGCCATGTGGAAATCAGGCATTCGAAGAGAGCACTTCTTTAATAGCTTTTTTGCTTCTTGCACGGCCCTCTCTGTCATACCATTTGAGCGCGGAGGATATGGACTTGACGTTACGTGGGTAATGCCAAGCCCATATAAAAAGTCTTTGAATTCTGTGCTGTTAAATGGCGGATCATTGTCACTGCACAGTTTAAGCGGTAATCCATGAACCGAAAAAAGTTCTGTGCACCAAGACTTCAGCTGATTAGCAGTGGTATGGCGAAATTCTCTTATTTCAAAAAAGAAGGAATAGAAATCGACAATAATAGCAAACTGTCGGCCCCCGTAAAAGAATAGGTCCATTCCTACAGCTTCCCAGGGCAAGTTTGGATCCTCATGGCTCAAAAGTGGCATTTTTGCGTTTCGGGGTTGATGCTTTTGGCACATTTTGCAGTTTCGGCAAACTTGCTCTATGTCGCTTGCCAGGCAGGGCCAGAACATGACGCTTCGTGCCCGCGCCTGTATCTTATCGGCTCCGGGGTGTGCGACGTGCAAAAAAGCCAATATTTCTGCTTTCATCGAACTTGGTATGATCACCTTGTTGCTGCGAAATAGAAGCCCGTCTTGTGCGTGTATCTCCTCCTGATAAGACCAGTATGGGCGGATGGCTTCTGGAACCTCATGCTTCTTGTCAGGCCAACTGGTTAGCGCATATTCCCGCAGCTTGGAGAGAACGGTATTGTTGTTGGTTGCTGCGAGAATACTTTTTAGACGGGGTTCCGAGGCTGAAACAAATTCCAGCACATATACTTGAAACTGCGCAGTTTCCTCGCACATGCTCACTGTGTTCGGAAAACGCGACAAAGCATCAGCAAGAAAAAGATCTTTGCCTGGCTTATAAATCAGCTTAATCGGATAGCGCTGCTAGGTCAGCCTCATGCGTTGCAAGCGAAGGGGACACTGATGCAGTGGCTTGTGAAGTATTGGTACTAAAGGCCTGTGGTCGGTCTCTACAATCACTTCTGCCTGACCAAAGACATGGAACTTCGTGCAACCATGCACTATCGCCAACATTTCCTTCTCAATTTGTGCATAGTTTTGTTGCGCCTCTGTGAGTGACCGGGACGAAAAAGCGATGGGGCGGCCGTCTTGCATGAGAACGGCACCGACTCCTAATTGGCTTGCGTCAACCGAGAGAATGAAAGGCTTTTTAGGGCTGAAGAAAGCCAAAACGGGTGCTTTCGTCAAGTATTGACGCAAGGTCTCAAAACTATTTTGCTGCGCCTCAGTCCAAACCCATGCAATGTTTTTACGCAGCAGTGTTCGAAGCAGAGCGGTCACTTGTGAAATGTTGGGAATGAATCGCTGCACGAAATTCATCGTACCAAGAAATACCTGCAGTTCTTTCTTGTTCTTCGGTTTCGGTATTCCAAGTATGTCTTGTACCCTCTCCGCATCAAGGCGTAGGCCTTCTGTAGTGAGTATGTGTCCCAGATACCGGACCTCCGGCTGCAGAAACGCACTCTTCTTGGGGTTAAGTCGGAGGTTGTGCTGTTGACACCGGGATAACACAAGTTTTAAGTTGCAGTCGTGTTCTTCTTTAGTTCTGCCCCATACTAATACGTCATCCATCCCAAGCGCCACACAGGACAACCTTTCCAAAACGCGGTGCATTGCTGCTTGGTATATTTCTGGGGCCGAAGCTATTCCGAACGGCATGCGAAGGAACCGATAGCGACCATATGGAGTGGTCATGGTGCAAAGTTTGGAGCTCGACTCGCCAAGCCGAATTTGCCAAAACCCTGAAGCTGCATCTAGCGTAGAAAAGAATCTTGCTCCGGCAAGCCTAGAAGCGACATCCTCTAACGTTGGCATGGGATAGTTTTCACGGAGTATGGCTTGATTGAGCGATGTTGGATCTAGGCAAATTCGAACTTTGTCTCCTTTAACAACGGTAACCATATGGCTGGACCATTCTGTAGGCTCAGTTACCTTTGTTATGACGCCTTGATCCTCCATACGCTGAAGTTCCGCTCTAGTCTTGTCCTCCAGGGCCACGGGGACTCTTCGAGCTGGTACGACGACACCCATGGCACCGGGCTTGAGTTTTATTTAGTACTCGTAGTCCTTGAGCTCACCCAGTCCTGTGAAGACATCTGCGAAAGGTTGGGCTGACTGGTAAAGTTAATCGACATCAATGTGCCGTACCTGGCGGATAAATTCAAGGTGTTCGGCTGCTGAACCACTCAGAGTCACTGGTACACTTTGCTCTATGATGTAGAATGTTTCGTGGATCACCCTCTCATTGGCTGAAATCCGCAGGTGCACTTTTGCTTGGGCGGTTGCCTTGTGGCCAAAAAAATGCTGTTAGCGCGACCAGGCAAGCCTGCTCTGGTAGATCCGGTAGCTTTGCAACGTCCCTCCTTGAAATGACGCAACAATTAGCCCCCGTGTCTAATTTGCAAGTCATCGGTTGGCCTTCAATGTCCACCGTCGCGCTCCAGTGGTCTGTGTTGACCGGGTTCACCGTTAATGTTTGCAGAAAAAAATTGCCGTCTTCTGCGCAGAGTTCCCGTAGTTCTTCCTTCTTGCAAGGAACGGTTTGCGAAGGCGTTGCCGATTTGCATGCTCGGGCAAAGTGGTTAAATCCTCCGCACTTATTGCATGTTCCACCGGTGGCGGGGCATCTTTCGCCGTGGTGTGCGCGATAGCAGCACCTGGCGCAGGCATCCCCTTTCTTTGCAACTGCGTTAACTGCCGTGTCCTGCGCTGTCTCCACGGCTTCACTGATTTCACGAAACTGCTGTTTCCCTTGCTTTTGCGTGCGACAGATATCGATAGTCTTCTTGAATGAAGGGTTCTTCGCAATCAGTTTCTGCTGCAGGTTCTTGTCACGAATTCCCAGAATAATACGACTGCGCAGCATCTGGTCTTCCATTACCCCAAATTCACAGTTTGTGGCTAACATTCGTAGCCCCGTCAGCCACTCATTGAAAGGTTCGCCTTCCCTTTGGTTTCTGCACCCAAATAGAAATTCATGATAGGTCAATTTCGTTTCTGGCCTGTAGAACTCTTCAAACTTGGCAGTTAAGACGTCTATGTTATTTTTGTCTTCTTCAGCCTCAAACGTGAAGGTGCTGTATACCTTCCTTGCCTCTTCACCAATAATCACTAGCAACGTGGTTGCTTGCACTTCTTTCGCTTGTTTTGTCAACTGGGTAGCAGTGAAAAATAGCGTGAACTCACTCTTCCAAGTTTTCCATGCAAGCCAGGTGTTGCCCGATGTGTCGAGCGGCTTTGGCGGCGGCAAGATTGTTGACGGCAAAATTGCTGGCGGCGTGGCCATTTCAGCTAGGCACCGCTGCCACCATGTAAGCAGGCCTGCAGTCTGGTGATGAACAACGTTTATTGTCGTTGAAACGAAGTAGATATAGGCAAGAATGGTGACGTAACAGGTCACGTGATTTTAACGAAATGGTTGGTGACGTCGGAGTGACTCAGCCATGCTACAACAAGCTCTGCAAACTCTCTGCTGCGTCATTCACTCGTTAAGCGATTGCCCCCCACGCTGCGACACTTATTACGAATTCCCCAGAGAGCACAGGAGTTGAGGAATAGAGCAGTGAGGAGAGGGGAGAAGAACAATAAGAGCAGGGCCACTTTATCTGCCACTGCGGAATGCGGAAAGCTTCTGACGAGCATGTTGACAGGGTGATGAGTGGGGAGAAATATATCATGTGGTCAAAGCCCTGGCAATCTCTGCAGGACGGCAGCAAAAACATTCACCGAAAATCAGTCAGTCACACGTTCGCCATTATCCTAATCCGCAGTTAAATAGAACCTTTGTGTGACAACGCATCCAGGAAACGCCGCTCCGTTTGTTGGAGCCGTCAAATTCGCTACTTGTGCAAATAGCGCCAATACGGCCAACATCAATGATGCCATCCATGTGTCCAACTACACATTGTTACTACCATTTTTACCAATTGAAAACAAATTTGAAGAATGTTACGTTTCAGTAGTCGCTTGACCGTCATCGCACTGCGCTTACTCCAATCTTCTAAGCGAGAACAAACTTTTGCTCTACGCTTTCTCTTATTCCGCTTATACACACCGGCTCTGAAGAGAGCACTTTCAGCGTGTTTGTAAGTGCTCCTGTTCTCCCAAATTAATTCTTCATTAGGAAGACTCATGCACTGACACACAAAAATGGGATCCTCAACGCACGTGGGTAAGTCTAGCGCATTGGGGCGGAATATGCACAGTGGGACTGCCAAAGAACACAGCAATGCAGCGGAGTAAGATGACATTTCTCCTTCATGGAATTGATTCTATAAAGTCGTTAAGAGAGAGGCTTCAACTCACCATGTGCCGCCCATGTACCTTGGAGAAAATGATAAGAGCAAGGTTAAGTGTTTTCAAATTGGCCACACTTTCTGTTTTTAATGCGAAGCATTTTAAGCCAGCTTCGGCGACTTTGAGCGCATCTATCATTCTATCTATCTATCTATCTATCTATCTATCTATCTATCTATCTATCTATCTATCTATCCATCCACGCAAAACTTTATAGCTCACCTAGCAGTTTCGATAATGGCATCGGTATGGCGTAACAAGATTGTATGGCAATAAATCACCTATAGTCATAATATGAAAATCATGAGATGTATGTCATGACTGTCACTTACATTTTATGGTCATGCTGTTTTTGCAGTGGTTTTGTTCACATGGCAAATTGTAGGTTATGC